TCAGATGCAAATTTGGATGTATACGGTGATATACATCCAAATTACATTTTCAGGTCCTAATCTAGCAAGTGATGTGTGCGCAAAAGCCCGCTTTTGCACACAGATTGCTTTTGCTGAACTGGGGCAAGAACATGTAGTAGTGGTTGAGATCATGTATGATACAATAACCAACTACTTCATTTTAAAACTGTACCATAAAAAAATTAAGGTATCACATTATGGGTATTACTAAATTACTTTGAAACAAGCAGCAAACATGATTATAGATGCAGTGTAAAATGCCTGCCAACTCTACCTCTTAGGATGGCCACCCACTCCTCTAAACGGTGATCCAGGGGCTGCCTACTACTTCTGTAATTTACAGTACATTCGGAATGCTCTCACACTTTTATCATTTTGCCAAAAGTGCAAAATCAAAATGTTCAGAAGGGCATAATTAATAAATGGATTAGAACTGCAATATAATAGAACAGTCCAGGAGGGCGCTTTTATATGGCAATAGGATAGTAGTGTATATTGCAATGTTTATGGTATGTATTATCTTGCTTTTAGTGTCTTCTACCTTTGTAATCCACTTTCTGCATTGTTTAGGGTCTTATAATTTAGACAATTTTCTGTTTGTATTGTCTACTAACTTTGTAATGCCAGTCCTATTGCATTTTTAATTGGATGTTTTATGCTGTCTGGCTATGTATGCTTGGGCCGTCATCAGTTTCAAAAGTGATAACAGAGTTATAACTTTGTTTACAGAAGCAGTAGAGACACCCAAAGAGGTACAGTTTACCTGAATAATCTGTCTTCTTTAGTGTTAGTGATTTTAGTACCAAGGACATTTGCTGCCCTGTTGCACATTATTTATAACATTCTCTTTTATGAAAACTTTTAAATTGGTAATAGCTCTTTAAAAGGAGAACTAGCTCAGAGGCACTCCAAATTCAAAATATAATTTACCATCAAACATCAGAAATTTCATTTTAAAAACACAAAAACATCTCAAATTCATAAGGAAACAAAACTCTTTGGCATCAAGTATTGGCAGTAAAAGAAAGAATAAATATATGCTCCTTGTAGACTATCCCAGATCATTAGATGTAAATCAGTGATTTAACCACTGGCATTTACAGATTTTTTTTCTCTTCTGCAAACAAACCTGCTATAAAGATTTTTTCTGTGTAAATGCTGTACCGCTCATAAATGCACTTCAGTTAAAGCAAGGCAGAGCTATTGTTGTTATTTATTTATTTAATTTCTACCCTGCCCTCCCCGCCAAATTTCATTTCTATATCGCCTGTAGCCAAAGCTCTCTGGGTGGTTTTACAACAAGTATAAGAACAATAAAATACAATAGATAAAACATTAAGAATTAAAAATTAATTTAAGATAACATGAAAAAACATTAAAAACAATAGACCAGACCCAAAAAGACCTAACCCAAAGTGAAAGAAAAGTACCTGGCTAATTGTATTGGACCCCTGCATGACCAGCGAGGTTTTTAAAGGTCTCCACAAAGAGGACTGTCTTAACCTGGCACTGAAAAGATGGCAACTTTGTCGCCAGGCAGGCTGCAGCAGGGATGTTGTTCCAAAGACGGGGCCACCACCAAAAAGGCCCTCCCCCTAGTTGCCACCCTCCAAGCCTCTCAAGGGGTTGGCACCTGGAGGAAAGCCCCAGAGGTTGAGAGTAATGTCTGGGTAGATTGGGGTTGGGAGAGGTGCTCTGACAGATATTGTGGTCCCAAGCTCACACATGCATGTTCATCCCTCAGTGACTGCAGTATCCTGATAATTTGCATGTATATTAGAACCATATTTTATTGTCTGGCATCAGAATTATTCTAATTATTATTGCTAGTTACTATTTCAGTAGCAAGTATAGTAACCAGGTGCTACACATAAAAGCATTAAAAACACTAGCCTTGCTCCTGCATGCAAATCTAAAAGACTAGATATGAAGAAAAAAGAGTGGAAGAACAAGGTAGAGGAGGGAATCTGTCCTTTCCTTAGTCTTAGAATACCAGAACAATGAAATGAGATTTACTAGCCATTTAAAATTATAACAGACTTCAGAAGCAGTGCCCAAGTGTGTCAGCTCGGACTCATTTACCAATATAAATATATAAGTAGATATCATAATATTCACTGACTTTCATCTGATTGTGTTGTATCAATATCAAAATCTGTAGATTTTGGAAAGATGGTGCTCGCTCTAAGAATCATCTTTGAATTCATGGTTATTTTATTACATCCTAGCCTGATAGGCCCTAAATGTAGGTTGGATTTAATGTGTAGTTAAGTGTCTGGCTTTTCAGGCTTGGTAGCCTGAAATTTCCTCTCCTGAAACAGAGGAAAGAGTAGCAAAATTCCTAGAAATGACACCTTGAAAACAAGTGACATTACTTTATATATCTTGTATGAATGTAATGATATAAGGGATGCCTTTACAGAATGTTTTGATTAAAACACTGACCCCAGCTATTTTGGCCTAATACACTCTGGCTGCAATCTTAATGGGGAAGGGGTTATAGCTCAGTGGTAGACATCTGCTTGGCATGCAGAAAGTCCCAAATTCAATCCCTGGCATCTCCAGTTAAAGAAGCTGGCAGTAAATGGTGTGAAAGACCTCTGCCTGAGACCTTGGAAAGCTGCTGCCAGGCTGAGTAGACAGTACTGACTGTGATGGACCAAAGGTCTGATTCCGTATAAGGCCGCTTTATATGTAATCAGACTTACTGGTAAGTAAGCCCACTGAGCTCAATGAAACTTACATCTCAGTAAATATGCTTAGGATTGCACTATTTGTGACCACATATCTTGACACAGAACATATCTTCTACACTTCTCACATTTTATTACCCTTTTTTCTTCCTCCATCTTGCTCCCCATCTTCCTTTTTAACATGTATGAAAAATAAGGGTGGTTTTCTCTTCTTCATTTCTCTTATTATTTGTTTTCATTCTAGAAAATGAAAAACCATTCCCATATACCTTTTTTCTGAACCTGACTTCAGAGTGCAGATCAAACTGTATAATGGGGTCTGGTACAAGATTTTTAATATACACATATCTTTGAACAGAGAAGTGATTTTTTTAAAAAGGCTGAGATCTTGTGAGATCATGGCCAATATACCATATAAATAGATTTTTAAAAAATTACAGCAGTGGGGAAGGGGAGAGTTGGAGGGAAAGGAGAAAGCAGTGGTGATAGTGGGAGGCAAGCGAAAGGAGATGAAGTGGGAGGATTTTCCTTATCTACAAATACTCACCTCTTGTAAAAACTAATACTAAAAATCTACTTTCATTTAACAGAATTGTGCCTGAGAAACTATAGCAGCTCTGCATCTAGTATATGATCACCATGCATGTATGGACTCACCCTACTGCTAAACAATCAAGTAACTACATATTTTAGTGGCATACAAGCATGTGTAAATTAACCTTGAAACTGATAATTTTTAATATTGGTATCCCAAAATGAAAAGCAAAAAGCCTGTGTTGGAAAACTTTCTAAAAATCTCTAATGCTGATTCAACATACTCAAAATTGCAATGAGAAGGTACTCTTGTATTTACAAATTCTAATTTAAGGAATAAATCAAAGAATATTAAAAACGATCACTTGGGGGTATAGGAAAGGGTGGTTTGGATATAAATAAATAACTAATCATTGGTTATTTCTTGGTATTCAGATTAATGGTGTTTCTTGATTGTATACATGTACCCATATCTACCTGAAAGAAGGATATCCCAGAATGTAAACTCATCCCCCTAAAAAATAGTTTCACTCTTTACTGCTGTATTGTATGTAACTAACTTGTAGGTTTACAGGGTCTATATAGGAAAACCCATTTATTTAAATATTTGGATATGCAAGTATTTAGATTCCCAAGAGTCTTCAAAAAAATGAGATAATCTTTTACAACACTCTCAGCTTGGGCCAGAACTGATTCACGGGTAGTACCACTAATGAATAATCAAAATCCACTATTTTATTTGTGTTCCTCTAGCACAATGCAATGCAATTGTCCAACATGCAGCCACTATTCATTTCCATAGGTATGACCTTTTCATAACAAAGTAGGTCCTTTAGTTGGTCTGTTCTTCAGCAAA